CTACAAAAACCATAGGTAAGTAAAGACTTTAATTACAACAAAACAAATAAATATTTTTCAAAAGAAAAATAAACTAAAATCATTAGTCATATTAAACGATCATAAAAACAAACCTATATCTACACAGATGATGGATAAACATGGTCATCAACAGTTTAGCGAAGTCAGCTCCTACACAAAGTCTAAGACCAGCGCCAAAGGGAGTGAAATTCTTGGAGACTATCGCGCCCAAGTCTTTTCCCTGAAATTTTAGCTCAGTATATATGTTAAAAAGTCTATAAATTTGGTTAGCGGAATTCAGAGTAAGTAAGTAAAGAATGAAGAACAAATTTAAATTCTCACCTTCCAGCGCCATGGATTAAATTCTAGAGGATCATCGTATTTTTCGGGATTGAAATGGACACTTGGATAGCCCATGAAGGTCCAACCCTCTGGAATCGTATAATCACCGACTTGGATGTCATGGTCAAGTAGTCTAAGGACTGTCGGCACCGTGGTTGTGATCCTAAGAGACTCATTGATCACCTGAAAATAAAACACCGTATTTGTCTGAGATAAAACCAATTAGGAATATTGTTTTATAATATATATATAGGTTTGGCCTATACTACTCACCATATGAGTGAAAGTCATGGATTTGTAGTCTTCCCATGTTAGGCCGGCCTCCTTCTCAGTTCTAGATCCCAAAATTCCGGCATGCTCTCTTTGCAACTCCTGCATGACTTGAGGGTTCTGGCTTATGAGCTTTACCGTAGCGGCAAGAATCCGTGGTGTTGTTTCGTTAGCAATCAAAAAGAAGGTATATATGTAATCGACCGCCTTCTCTACGTTCATTATCGATTCCTTTCCTCCTTCATTTTCTGTAAATATTGTCTTGAAGAACTCCCCAAACTCCTCTCCTGATGCTCTCTTCTTCATTACTGTCTCCTTTAGTATCTTCATCATCCTCTGTCTTGCCTGCCACGAAACATCATTATCATGCATATATGCATATTGCACAAAAACTCTATATACATATATATGTACGCTAGATTAGTGTTACAGAAAAAAAATACCTTCATCAATCTATAGACACCTGTTCCAGGAAGATTGACGGTGAATCTAAACCAACCACTCGGAAAAAATCTCCAACAGAGAGCGAGTTCTTTCGCCGCCTCTGGTTCCATCTCACCCATAACTTTCTTTGAGAGGCATTCAATTAAGATCTGTAACGTTTGGTGATATTAATATACTTCCTGAGATGATCTAATATAATTGCCAAGAGATAAAGACTAGTTATCTATATAGCGCGAAATATATGACTTTGTTTTGTATCTACCTTGCTCGTCGTTTCCTTAACGTCAAGGTAGCCATTCCTAGCTCCTTCCTGCATGTGTTTACGAGCCAAGAGATCGATATCTTCAATTATTCGCAGTTTTAAACTTTGTGAGCCCAACAACTGGAACGTCAAGTTTCGGACATGATTATGGAACTCCTTGCTCTGCAAAAACAAGTTGTTCTCCCCAAATAGCTGTGTTATGCTCTTGGTGAAACCAGGAATTCTATATGTCTTGGCTATCTTTATATTCAATTCATTATCCGTCGAGATTATAACTTTGTTTCCATGTAAACTTGTCCGAAAAAGTGGTCCATGTCTATTACAAAGAAAAAATGACAAAGCAAAGTTAACTTAAGCAAGTTAGGATCGTAATTAAGAAAAATATTTTCTAAACATACATGAAAATTTCATGCATGCTAGAGAAATTTCAAACCTAAGGAGTCTCTCTTTGAGGAATGTTGAAAACCGAAGAGCGTCATGAGGTTTCATGAACTCGAAAGTTTCTCCGATGATCGGAAAACCCATAGAGCCTGGAGGAAGCTTTCCGCTACACTTTGGATTGCTCCATTGATAGATCCAATGGCATAGCTTCAACACTAAGAGTGAAACTATCACAACCCATAACTCATAAAACTCTACCATGTTGATGAGTTTTGTTGCTCTCTTTTTGGATATGTTTGTTTTAGGGTTCTCTTAGGGTAGCACTCTGTCTTTATAGTACCCTCTGTTTTCTCATTTTCAACTCGAGACAATTTTATAAGAAGGATAAGTTTGACAAAAAGAAAATTTTGTATTTTCTGACAGGTGATGTTGACAATGACCATCTGTTAGAGCATGATTATAGGTGGGTAATAAGAGTAAATATAGGATTTTTTAAAATATAAAATTATTAAAATTTGAGTAAAAGGATGAAAGAGAGTGTTTTTGTGGGGTGTATTGAAATATAAAATTAATAAAATTTGAGTAAAAAGAGGAAATAGTGGATATTTTTTGGAGAGAGAGTATGTATAGGTTATATGGGAAGAAAATTTTGGAGAGGGGTTTTAGGAGTGTTTAAATATAAAATTAATAAAAGTTGAGTAAAAGGATGAAAGANAAGGTATAAAGTTGAGTAAAANGAAGANANAGTGTNTGTTTTAATAATTTTATATTTAAGAACTTGCTATATTTACTATGGATAATCATGCCCTTATCATGACTTCATTCTGTTAGAGGGAGGGATGGGC